TAAATAGGAAGGAGGTTTATGGCGGTAAATTACCAGTCAGTTGGTATTTGTGACGTCAATTGGTCACTTGGGGTTTATGACGTCAAAAACCCGTTCCTGAATTTCAGGAACACCCTGGAGATCAGATGGACGACACCAGCAACGTAGTCTCGCAATTTACTTAACGCTTTTCAGTGACCAGACTCATCCAACAGAATAACTCCTTCATGGACACCCATTGCCACCAGCTCAGTGATCGACGACGAAAGAGTCGACGAATCTACCTTCAAAATGACTACCGCTGGCGACTCTGTTCGACTCCCCACTGATTTCGAACACGCACGTAAGATTTCGGCGGCGAATCACTGTCGACACAAGCGAAACACTTCGCTTTCGACCAAGACCACCAGGGCGAGGTCAAGCAGAGCTCACGAGGAAAGCTGTTCTTGCGACGACTGTCGTGGGACCAAAGCAGTGTTTCGCAAGACTTCCATCATTTAAACGGCGCTTAAGTTATACAATCCAGCCAGACTAGTTCCCACTATATCCCCCGGCATATCTACATCTACTGGACCGGAATAAATGCCTGAGCGACCTCATAGCCGCTGGACTGGAAATACACAGGCATATTCCTGGCTTACTCAAGAGACGGTGAGGCCAGAGACCTGGCCTGGCATTATGTACGGCAACATAAGAATCCTCATCAAACTTTTGTATCTTGTTCCTCTTCTGGTGTTTCACTGGGATCTGGATGTCAAACCAGAAGCACTTCATGATGCTGAAGACCAACAAAGACAGGGCCAGTGAGGTGGCCATGGAAAGAACGAAAGGAAACAAATCACGCAAGACGGCATGTGAGAAGCCCTGCAAAACCGCCGACGGGTGGGGCTGACGGGGATGCGCTGGCTAGCATACTTGGGCACTTTCAACTGCATTCAAGCCATTGCGTAACGTAATGCTATTCCTCTAACCCGCCACTCGCTAATAGTATTACTACCCCTTGCCAGTGAATATTGGCTTGCTATATACCTCCCTAGTCTCGGACAGAGCCTGCATTCTATGCTGCCCTGCAATGCCCGGAAAGACCCCCTGCGCGGGTCAAGCTATCTACTACATCGGTCTTAGGCCATAGCGACGCCGAAGACGACGAGACAAGCAGGAAGGAAGACCGTGATGAAGGTCGACTCAAAGGCTTTGTTGCCGGCGCTCTTCGTGGCAGTGGTACTGGCGGATGCACTTGCTGAGGTGGTGGACGGGTTGGTTATACTGGCGGAAGCAGACGAACGAGTCACTGCAGGGGTGACGGGGGTCTTGCTCGTGGCCGACGTGCTGATCGTGGTAGAATTGGTCACTGCATGAGTGACGGAAGCCTTGCCTGTGGCCGACGTGCTGATCGTGGTAGAATTGGTCACTGCATGAGTGACGGAAGCCTTGCCTGTGGCCGACGTGCTGACTGTGGTCGAAGAGCTGACCAAGGTAGAGTGGGCGCTGCTACTGGCCTGGGCTGTAACGCATCCAAGGAGCATGAGCACGACGGCCATGAAGTTGTATAATTTAGGGGCGAACATCTTGGGTGGCTTGTTTGGCGTCGAATGGACGAAGTTGTAAAGCTGTTAAGGCAATTACGTTAGTTTGGTAGTTGAACTGATCCGCAATATATTTGTTGTATCGTACCTGGAAATCTCGTAGTTAGTTGGAGTGAGAACGTAGTGCCGGCCTTCATATGTCTCCTGATGACCGCTGGAACCAGCCTGGCAGAAGTTGAGTGGAATGGCTCTTAAGTATATGGACACTCTCCCCCTGGCAGTGGCTCATCCCTGTAATTGGTAGTGACTTGAATTCGGACAGACCCCGACAGAGTGCGTTCGCGTACTCCGTTACGGACGTAACAGCCATCGGCGTACCCGTCCCCATCGTTTTGTCGTCGAGTGCAATCATCAACCCCATAGCCAGCGTGACCCTTCAATTGCAACTGAATTGCGTATGGGGGCCGTTAGGGGACCGGACGTCATAGCATAGCGTCATTTCGCCACAAGATTATACAATATGCCGCCCATTGACAAAAACGTTTCGTGCCGTGGTAGTTCTGTTGCCTCCGTACGGAAATCGGGTACCGCCGGCCATCTTCCGAGGCTATAACGCGCACGTGAGGCTGAGCATCCTCTGGTGGTGCTGCGACGCTCCAGACCGAGAACAGTCCAGCAACTCGACGACTTTGAGGCAGGAGAGCAGTGCTGATAGGACGATGGTCGGTCGCTTGCTGCGCAAGGACTGTGGGCCGGATCAACGTTCAGCCGGAAAAGGAAAGATCGGCACCCAGGAAAGGGGCTTGCAAGCAGAAAAGCGTACAAACTTGAATCGTCCAACCCTGTGGGCTCCCGCTGGTTGGACCAGCTACTGCACAGTACTCTGTCCGAGTGGGAACTGTCGTTGCCACCGTCATCATGTCCTTATTGAACTGGCATGATGCGGGGTACTGGGAACCCCATCCCCCTCGAACTTGTTCTCCTTTCCGTTGAACATCTCGCACCTGTCGACCTGCTGGCTCTGCTGCGCGCGACCCCCGGACTGTCGCGTGTGTTGACTCTCCGACATGTCACGCGAACGGATGCGAGTGGGCGATATATCTTGCACCACCTTGCGGACGAAGGCGAAGAACCGCTGATGAGGCTCATTCATGCAAACAAGAGCATTGCGCCAAATCCTAAAGACTGCGAACGGCGGACGCCGTTTTGGTTCGCAGCTGGAAGCGGACACGAAGCGATTGTAAAGCTCATGTTGGGCCGGCAAGATTGGTCGAAATAGGAGAGGCCCAACTTAAGCTTGGATGCTAGCGTGGTTCGGTCGGCAATCATCCGAGCTCGACGCTTCGTCACAGACCCCTGCCATAACCCACCTGCGCAGTCCGCAAGGTGTCAGGGGCTGTGCGAATTGTACCATTTCGTGGGCGTTCGTGACAAGTCATGCCGTCACAATAGCAGGGCCCGTGGCAGGGGTATTGGGTTCGGCGTACAGTAGCCACCGTACAAAGTTTTCTCTATGCAGGTGAGGATTTCCACAACGAGACGCTACGGAACAACGCAGCCCTGGCTAGGCATCAGCATGGGACGGTCTTGGGCATATCTGGTATGGGCAGCGTCGGAAAGCACCTTGCCCAACAAGCGGCTTTGCATGGGGTTCTGTAAAGGGCTGGTCTGGAGTTTGTTCAACAAGCAGGTGCCTTCGTGTTGTCTATCTAAAGCTAAGGAGAAAAGGAGAAGGAAGGGGAGCTCGCAGCCTGGGGCTGCGAGCTTGTACTCAGCGTCTGCCAAAGTCCGGTTGGCAGAGCGACGGGGGTCCGGGATTGCGGGGCCGGCAAAGCCGGATCCACATCTCCG